AAAGTCGGTAAAAGTTGACGTTTTTGCTTACTGCTTGAGGATTGATCTTTTATTTTTTATGATATGATATACCTTATTGTTGAGTTCTTAAAACTTCAGCTTTAACGTGTCTATTGCAAAACAACTGCCTCCACTCCATCCTACCACATTGTAGCTACTTTTATCTAAACCTTGAATACGTAATTAAATTGTAATCTCTAGTTTTTCTCTCCTACATCTAATTATTGCTCTAAATCTAGCTTCCGTGAACAATTTTGGGCGGGGGATCTGTATGATTTTTAATATCAAGTTTGTTGAAGTTAAAATTGTAGTTCATAAGCCAATCTGAGCATAGCTTATAGCTTAACTGGTTCGAGTATATGTCATTGACCCAGAGGTGAGTATACATGTTCCATGTCACTTGTTTGTTGTTCATGATGCTTGATATCCCTTGGGCGTTCATGTTCGTCTTATCCAAGGCTTGCTTTCTAAAAGATGGCTCTTTCTTGTTCTTGTTTTTGTTTTTGTTTTGTAAAAGGAAATTCCACCTGTGCTTTAGTCCTTCTAGCTGTGAAATTTTGGCTGTACTTCTCATGAAAACGATTGAAGAGGCACGCACAAATTTTTGTTTCTTATAACAAGCAAATCTTTGTTATGTCAAGATCTTTGGTTTCTGTTTAGTTAAACCCTTGTTTTTCTTGAGATAAGATTTGATTATCTTAGACTTATACACTTCAAATCAAGTTTCCACTCGATGGCTAGCTAGAATGATCGTTTTATCCTCTAAACATGTTTACGTGTCGTCACCAATCAAGCTGATGTTTGTGAGACAAGTTAGCTGTATAATGAATGTGCAATTACAGGTCATGATTTGCTATGGTTGTTTGTGCTGTCCAAACTGACCAAACTGTGCAATTCTTTAAGCTTGTACTAGGCGAAGTGCTTTTCTTGAAAACACTTTTGATTTTGTAGGATGTGCTTTTCACTTGGGGAACTCTACTTGCTCAGCAACATTCGCAGCTGCGAAGAACAACATTCGTGCACTGAATTTAAAAAATGTAATATGCTTTGATTTCACCTTTACCCTACAAAGAATTTGTGGTCAAATAGGCTAAATCCTATATCCATTTTTTTATTCTGTTTAGGTTGCCTCTGTTCACTGTCTGCCAGACATTTTCAATTGATTTTTGCATAATTGTTAAATTCTGAACTCTTTTAGTTGCTAATCAAATTCCCTTTTAAGAACAACCCGTGTGCCTTCTACTTGGTCTTTCCTCTTTTTTAGTTAGTTGCTAGCCTATAACACCTTTATCTTGCTGTTAAGGGTATAAAATCTCACCAAATTCCTTCATTCTTCTTTAAATAAGGATGAGAGATGGTCATCGAGGCAGGGAGATCGGTTATAGTTCATATACTAGTAAAACTTTTAGTTTTTTTTTTTTAAGATTAAGAGTATTAATGTTGTTTTTGAAGGTTTATGGGTATTTGATACGTGGCATTATCAGTTTCGTCTATATACTAACAAGGAGTATTTTGTTGTCATCTTGCTTTGTGTGGTCGATTTCCAACTTGAATTCGTACAAAATGAATAAAACTACTTAGATGGTTGAATTTGACGGCGATGAGAAATAAATTCTCGATGACCCTCCTATCGTTTCCATCTTAAGGCTTTTCATTTCATTAATATTAACTTACAAATTTGAAGTTTTTGTGACTATGTACACTCTTAAATTTCTCTATAGCAATCAGCATGCAACAGCTAATAGAGATGTTTTGCATAACTATATGAGTCAAGTTTTAATAAATAATAATAATAATAAAAAGAATAAATATGAGTCAAGTTTTAATAAATAATAATAATAAAAAAAAGAATAAAAGAACGAAACACCTAATTACCGTGTTGACTTTGTCTTTCGTCTTCTTTCTTTAACTTTGAGTCTTCGTCTTCTTCCTTTGACTCTATTCCCTGACCTTCTTTCTCAATCTGGGTGATGCTGGAGATGCTACATGTAATAGAAGATGGAGACTTAAGAGATATATTAGAGAATTAAATCAGATTAACAATTAAATTTGACATGCAAATAATCCTTAAGCAGATGCAAATAATCCGTAAGCAGAAGACAATTGTAAAAATTATTTCATAAGTGAAATTTAAATGTTTTCCATCCAAAATTTAATAGTAAAAACATCAAACTTAAAATTCTATGCTTTTCCTAAAAATAATAAAATAGTGGTAAGAATATTTTTAAATTTTTTTTAAAGATTAAATTTAACTTTTTAAAGTTTAGTTATTCTTTTTTATGTATATTATTTAAACTAAAAAGAATTATGAGAAAACAAAATAAAAAAGAAGGTTTAAAATTTTAATTAATAAACGCCTAAAATAAAAGACTAATTTCCATCCAAAATTGTCTTTGACATGGTTGTTACGGTGTGAGCTACTAAGCTTCGTTCAGGCGGCACGGTTCTTGATGTCCATCCTCACCAATCCTGCTTCACCCGTCTTCTCCAAAGCATTAGAGATCAAGAATTACCTCGCCAATGGCGTCAACTGCTTCAAGCAGCTCAAGCATATCCATTGCCGCCTTCTCCGCCTCCATCTCGACCAAGATAACTACCTTCTCAACACGCTTTTATCTAGCGGCTTGGATTCTGGTTGCACAGATTATTCTAAACTCGTATTTTCTCAAGCCAAAGAGCCCAATATTTTCCTATGGAACACGATGATTCGTGGCTTGGTTTCCAAGGATTGCTTCGACGATGCCATCGACGTTTATGGGTCGATGCGTAGAGAGGGGTTTTTACCCAATAATTTCACTTTCCCTTTTGTTTTAAAAGCTTGTGCTAGGAAATTGGATATTCGATTGGGAGTGAAGATTCACACTCTCGTGGTGAAAGCCGGTTTTGATTATGATGTGTTTGTGAAGACCAGTTTGCTTTCGTTGTATGCCAAATGTGATAATTTGGAGAATGCACTCAAGGTGTTCGACGATATGCCTGACAAAAATGTGGTCTCTTGGACTGCTATTATCACTGGATATATAGGCAGTGGACAGTTTAGAGAAGCCATTGATGCATTCAAGAGGTTGCTTGAAATGGGATTGAGGCCTGATAGCTTCTCTCTTGTCAAAGTTCTGTCTGCCTGCGCTCAGCTTGGGGATTTCACTAGTGGTGAGTGGATCGATAGATATATAAGTGATTGTGGCTTTGTTAGAAATGTTTTTGTAGCTACTTCTTTGTTGGATATGTATGTTAAATGTGGAAACATGGAGCGAGCTAATCTGATATTTAATGCTATGTCGGAGAAGGATATTGTTTCTTGGAGTACCATGATTCAAGGCTATGCTTTCAATGGATTGCCTAAACAAGCGCTTGATCTTTTCTTTCAAATGCAGTCTGAAAATTTGAAGCCTGATTGTTATGCAATGGTTGGTGTTCTGTCTGCTTGTGCAAGGCTAGGAGCTTTAGATTTAGGCATCTGGGCCAGCAGCCTGATGGATCGACACGAGTTCTTGTCGAATCCAGTCCTTGGTACTGCTTTAATCGACATGTACTCTAAATGTGGTAGTGTGACTCGAGCTTGGGAAATCTTCCGATCGATGGAGAAGAAAGACCGCGTAGTTTGGAACGCCATGATTGTCGGGCTGTCCATGAATGGGCACGCCAAAGCTGTGTTTTCATTGTTTAGCCTCGTGGGGAAGCATGGAATTCGGCCAGACGAAAACACCTTCATTGGCCTGCTCTGTGGGTGCACTCATGGCGGTTTTGTCGATGAGGGGCGTCGATATTTCAATAGCATGAAGCAGGTGTTCTCGTTGACCCCTTCGATTGAGCATTATGGATGTATGGTGGATTTGCTTGGGCGAGCAGGGTTATTAGACGAGGCTCACCGGTTGATAAACAGCATGCCAATGCAGCCTAATGCTGTTGTTTGGGGGGCCTTGTTGGGTGGATGTAGGTTGCATAGAGATTCCCACTTGGCTGAACAAGTACTAAAGAAGCTTATTGAGTTGGAGCCATGGAACTCAGGAAACTACGTTCTGTTGTCAAATATTTACTCTGCAAGTCATCGATGGGAGGAAGCTGAAAAGATCCGTTCAGCGATGAAGGAGCAGCGGATCCAGAAGATCCGTGGCTGCAGTTGGATCGAGATCGATGGGATCGTTCACGAGTTTCTAGTAGGAGACAAATCGCACTCGTTGTCCGACAAAATATATGCAAAACTTGATGAATTGGGGAGAGAATTGAAGGCAGCTGGTCATGTTCCAACTACAGAATTTGTTCTTTTCGACATAGAAGAGGAGGAGAAGGAACATTTCCTTGGTTGCCACAGTGAGAAGCTGGCTGTGGCATTTGGTTTGATAAGTTCTTCAAATCATGTTATTCGTGTTGTTAAAAACCTCCGTGTATGTGGTGATTGTCACGAGGCCATAAAGCTAATTTCCAAGATCACTGGAAGAGAGATCATCATAAGAGATACCAATCGGTTTCATACATTTATCGATGGTTCTTGCTCGTGTAAAGATTATTGGTGAAATTTGGATTAGAGGCGTACCGGGCACGACATTTCCTACGCATCCCTCGCAACTTGGTCACACCATCAATTTAGTTCAAACAGTAAAAACTGATTCCTAAAAATCAAGGTTAGTCCTTTCATCGCTTTCTTACTAACATAATTCTTTAGAAACAGAATAATTTTAGGGTTCATAATTTTGTTGTCATAGATAGTAATACTTTTCTTAGACATATCCCAATATATTCAGGTTCATTGTGATATATTCTTAGTTTATTCATGTATTCCTCCTAACTTGGACATCACAGAAAGGGTTAGTTCAACTCAATTTTTATCGATTTGGAGCCCACCTAAGCATAAAAATAATAATATTAATTAGATTATTTAGTCATTGTTCTAATTTGTTAACTTAATCATAAAAATAATAATATTAAACATTGTTCATAGACGTGGCAGAGTGTAGACGAGAATTTAAACTTCCAATTACCGTTAGATTCTGCTAGTAGTCTTAGTTTCAATTTGATTCTTACGGTCTTAATTATTGCTAAGAATGATTCAATCAAAATTACAGACGTGCGTGTACAAGTTGAAGCAACAATCATGGCAACAGGAAGAATATGAAATTGGTACGCATTTTGGAGTTATATTATATATAAGATTGAGTTGAGAGTTTGTATCCTGTAATGGCGGCCGACAAAGCTAAAGACAAGAAGGCGAAAAGGGACATGGTAATGGAAGCTGCCAACGAGTCTGTAAATATGTTGTCTGAGCCTTCTCTCATTCTGTTGATCATCGGAATCGCTGAAGATGACGCCGATATTAGCAGATAAGCCAGAATCTGCATACCCGATTTTAATATCAGTGGAGATGGAGGGCATATTTGCAAAAAATTAAGAACTGTTATCGAAATTGGCGCTAACCTGATCTCCAATGAAGTCGATTATGGCAGATTTTCGAGGTGGAAACATGGATCTCGCAGTCGAAACTTCATGAATTTGTCGAAAAACTTGGGCGCCCGTATAAAAAGTGGACAGAATTGCTATTGCCAACACGTATCTGTTTCAATTTTTCAATACCTAATTAATTATGTTTCTTTTAACAGCAAAGAGATTTGTAATCAGAAACGACTGAAATTGTGTTACCTGAATTCTTCGTAGTTGTCGAAGTTTTTCCAATCGCCATGTCTATTGCAAGCCATGATAAGGAAAGCAAGCAACGAAAAGACGAGACCAAATCCTCTCAGAGCCAATACGCGGCGTTTTAACAGATCTTCCCTCCCCCACCGGTTCAGGATCTCCGACACCCCGGAACTGGTCGCTGCCGGCGTTTGCATTTCGACATCGGGAGTCGGATTGGCAGATGGCGGCGGCGATTGCCTTCCGACATTGACCGTCGGGGGCACGGACGGCGGCGGCGCCCCGTTTTTTTGCTTTGTTGGAGAGTCTTCTGGATTTGACATAGGTACAATTAGTGATTGGGGTTTTTTTCTTTTTCTTTTTCCTTTTTTTTTTTCCGGTGAGAAGAACTGAAAAGGAATTTCTAGTCTTTTCTTGGGAAAACTGGATTTGTTTCTTTTTTTTTAAATATTTGGTGGCATTATGAAACGACAACTCAGCTTCTCTGTTTAGGAAGCGGGTGACGAAGTTGGGAAAGAAACCACGCCAACTAATCTTCGGACCAATCACGTGCGTTGGCTTTGTGACGTGGCGCAAATCGTGTGGTGCCAACTGTCCAGCTTGGACATTTCATGTGAAACTTGACTTCTGCCCACAAAACTTTTGGTGTACAAGAAAAAAAAAAAAGGTTTATAGTTAAATTATAAATTGTCATTATTTTTTTTTTAAATTTAGTGTCTTAATTTTAAATTGGAGAACTAAGTTTTTATAATTTCATCAACTATAATAAATAATTTATGTAGAGATTTTATCAAATGATAAAAATAATAAATATTTTACTTAATGATTAATATTATGACTTTTAAAAAATATGATTATTATTTTTAAACAAATGACAAAATTTAAGAGTATTTTTTATAATTTCATTTTCTTTTTTATTATTTTAATAGTGTGTCGGTTAAATAGAATAATATATCAATTAATTGTATATTTAAATATTAATGAAAAGGTTGTGTTAGAATAATATTAAATAATTTCCGACTAACATCCAAACTTTTAATAAAAGTAATAATAATAATAATAATAATAAGGAATAAAATAATCCGTGTGGAAATTCTCAAATACTCTTTTGGACAATACGCATATCAAAATTCTTGACTTGTTTCCAACTCTAAGCAACCGAAATAAGTAAAAAAAAAAAAAAAAAAAAA